AGGAATCCTAGGCAGATATATTACGGCAAATAATGGTTATAGTTTGCTACAAAATTATCTTTACATCACCGTAGTAGGGTTGTAAGAATCAATACACATAACAGCCTACTTAATCTAGAATATTTTTTCCACAGAGATTGTGATTGCTTTTTCTTCAATTCTATTTTTCTTTCCTGCAGTTTTCTTTCTATGAAAACTGATGAAATGGCCGGGGAACCACATAAAGAAAACTCTATTTAAAACTGGGAAAGGATAACGAACTAGTGAGATCGGGTTTTAACATCAGAACTTTGTTCAGAGCACGTGAAAATTGTATTAAAACATTCTACAAAAACAAGTTGAATGAGCTGTACACCTCAGAGCCAACTAGTTTGTATTTTGTTATTTTCAGTATTACTAGATTCGTGTCCAAAATAAATTCACTTGACATATTGCTAGAACTCAGTGACGCACCTTAAAGAAAGTAAAACCCTCACATTCTTTGACACAAGAACAATATTCGAAAAGAAAAATAGGCCCCAAATATTATCAATTGCATATAAACGAATAAATGAAAGGGTTAAAAAGAGGGCCCTTTTAATATCAACAGCACTTACCGCTGACATTCCCCAGCATGCAGAATTAAATCTTCGTTATTCCTAGCACTGATGGTCAGCTCATGTTCTGTAGAATTGAAGACATCAAGAAGTAGGTGGCATTGCCGGGTGCTGTTCAGATGAGGGGAAAAAAGAACAGTCCGATTTCAATATCATACCACAGAATTATTATACATATATCAGAATTAATATTTATACATAAATATAAACATGTATGCATAAATATAAATATACATACAGTTGCATACAAATGTTTTATACCCTACTTTAATTATAAGAGTATCTTATGCTTTTACTAGAAATTACTTTTCTTTTTTTAATAACAGGAAATTTAATGGGTTTTTTTACTAAAACTAGACAGAAGCATATATCCCAAAGAGAAGAAATTCCATGACAATTACAACCTGCACAATATTATGCCCGACAGCATTTGATCGCCTGTTTACATTTTCATCCTGCAGCTTTCCCTTTCACTTCTATGGAAAAAGCCACAGATATTTTTTTCAGTTCTTTGAGGACTGAGGTGAAAAGGTTTTATTATTTCAAATTACCTTGGCATTACCTTTTTAAGAAACCAATTTACAAGTAAAAAATTAAATCCTTGCCTGGTGTCAGGGAGCAATTCTATTTACAACCATAACTGGTTTGTCTACAGACCAAAGCAAGCTGGGAACTGGAATACTTTTCCATTATACCAACTACTCTGAGAAGGGACAACTCTGTCCCTTCTGCGAGAAAGACAAACAGAGGCACCTCGCACAGAAAACCCTATATTTGTCAGCTACTGTCCTTCAAATCCAAATTTCCCTTGAAGCATTGAGTATAAATATACCAACTGCATTTCTGCTAAGCTTAGGAAATAATACTGACAAAGCTACAGAGAAGAAACTTTATTGTAAATTTTTATTCTTCTTTATAAACTTTTCTCCCTTGTGAAACAAAGCACAAATAGCAGCATTGAGTGACTATAATATCCATGGAAAAATATCAGAACCAGATACCAAAATGCCAAATACAATCATACAGCTGCAATAATGCTTCATCGGTCCACTCTGAAATTCAAAACTTCCTAAGCAGCTACTTAACAACAGCGAAATATCCCAGCCTTAAGCATCGCTACAATTTCGCTTTAGCTATCAATGACTTTGAAGTTTAAATGCACATATAACAAAATTAAGTGACTTATTGTGAACTACAGGATAAAGTAGTATAGCTATTGTACAAAGATTAAGGATCATCTCATCCCATATCATTGCTATCAGAATGGATGAGAGGGAAAAGCAACTTGTATTCGGTGTCAGAAGCAGAACCCCTGAGCGGCATTAATTGGAGAGAGAGTCCACATGAAATCAGAAGCTCCCCAAAAGGAAAGAAAGAGTAATATGTTGGTAAGGTGAGAGTCATGCGAGCCATCCTTCGAACAATATGCAGATTCAAATTAAGTAAGATACAGTTGCATGTCTCAGGCAACCAAGTAGATTTATCCCATTGCATAATAATTTCCAGTTGAAGTCAAACACCAGCTATTCCAAAGGCAATCAAACTCAAGAGGTGCAAGAGCTTACGAATTGCTCCTCTACTTTGAAAACAGGTTCTCTGGTTTGTAACGCAACTGCCTCCTGAAAATGAAGAGATATCATTTTCAGAGCATATAGCGGAGGAACTGTGTTGCTCCCCTGCAAACCCTTGAGATGGGAACGCTCTTAGGACAAGCACGGAAGGTTAAAGTTCAGGTCACAACAGTGATAGCAACGTCACATGCAATTAGGCACTAAATGACAAGCAAGCGCTGCTTGGGGACAGTAGCACATCTCTTCGCAAAAGTAAAAAGCAAAACTGGGGGGGGAGGCTGGTTTTATATATATATTAAGGGTTTTCACTCTCTCTGGGTAAAACCCCAATGAATACTTAATATAGAAAAGAATGCTTGAAGGTAGGTGAGTGCCTGAAGCAAACATGTCAAAACTCAAGAATTTAGAACAAATAAGGTGTCATAGCTCTGATTAGAAACTCCCTTCCTTAACAGCTGACAAGAAAGAAATGGCTGGAAGGGCAGCATTGGAGTCAGTAGCTGTCCTGTTACCAGTAAGGACAGAAAAAGAGAGAATTAAAAAAGAAAAAAAGCCTGGGGTCCATCTCATCGTTGGGACAGTGGGACAAGACCTGTAAAGACACAGCAAACTTCTGCCTCTCCAGTGGATCTGAAGTTACGATCTGCAAGAGAGACTTCTAGCGACGACTATGTTTACAAAATTCCACATGGAAGGAATTTTTTTATTTATCCCATAGCAAAGCCAAGCGATTGTCTGAAATCCCATTCAAGCCTTGTGCAATATCTTTCGGCAGCAGAACCAAAGTTTTGTAAATAACGCAATTCATGCCATAAATGTAAAGGACCTATACAGCCAGCGGCCCTTCAGGACTAAACGCTGTCACTAATACTAAAATTTCCCGAGTATGAACTCTTGGACTATGCAGTGAAAATTACTCATCATCATGACATTTATTTCATCCTCTTCAAACACTACACAAAACAGACACGTAGGGGAAATAATTCTTTCCTTGTCAATTTTAAGCTAATTCTCCAGGGAAATTTTTACTAAAAATCAAAGTTACAGAATTATTACAGTACTTTGAAAACTTAGAAAAATAATATGCAGGTATAAAAAGATTGAAAGTAACATTAAGACTGTAGAAAAAGATAGCATCGGATGTTCAGAGTAAATACAGGACAGTATCAAAGAGACTATTGAGACTATTAGATTAAAGGTCACAAAAAGATACGATTAAAGGTTACAAAAATATTTTAATTAAAACAGCAAGCTTCAAATACTGGAAGCTGTATCCAAGTAAGGAAACCAAGAGAAAGCATAAACTCTGGAAAATTAGAGGTAACACCATAATAAAGTTAAAAAGGAAAAAAAAAGAAACCCTCAAGTTGTTGAAAAGCAATTCGCTAAAGACCTGAAAACCAGCATGATTTTTTTTTATTGTTTTTTAGCATGCCACAGTAAGTAGGACTGCGTAGCACTGATGATGCCGAGTTATGATCTGGGTGAAAGCGAAAGTTCCAGGAAAACAGAGAATTAGCAAAAAAGCCAAATCAATTATTTATATCAATTTTCACTACAGGTCAACTTACAGAAGGACCTCCTTTGTGAGACAGGGACTAAAGAACCTATGCCAAAGTGTCAGCAAAAGAGATTTGAGAGGCAAATCATAATCATGCAAGTGTGATAAAGGAACTCCAAGATGCCTCTGCTGAACCACGACGTGTAAGTCCAGGCAGCAATCTGTTGCTGAAACTGAGCTCTGCATCAGACAAACTTCCAATGTCATATTGTTTTAAGGATTTTAAGGCAATAGAGTAAACTTAGACCATTAACCCTGGCCTCCATACTAACTAAATTAATTTTTAAAAGTAGTATGTAAGCTTTTAAAAACTTAAACCCCTCAAAATAATAAATAGATTTAAAGATTATTAAATTATATATCATAATGGTCTCCGGAAATTTTTGGCTGAGAAATACCAGTCATAAGCCACAGATTCCTGGAACTGGGAAAGATTATCCTACACATACCCGATTTCTTCTTACCTTTACAAACTATCTACCATCATACAACAGTTTACACTAAATGTTTTGTGGGTTGGGGAGGGAAGTACAGGGTGAGTTACTGGGGGAAAAAAATCCACTTTGAGTGGATTTTGAGTCCTCTAAGTCTAGGTAAGTGGATGTTAGTTACCGTTCATCCTAGAAAAGGTGGAGAACACCGTCTTCAACATTTCACACTACGTGCAGGGTCATCAGTGGCTTCCCAGTCTTTTTACAGGTTTTGGGTCATTTTGCTGTTACTAGCTCCTTTTTACAGCTTGGGTCAAACACATCTAAAATAAGTCACTTTGTGTTTGGTTGTTTTGGTTTTGTGGGTTTTTTTTGAGATGGCATGGTTCTGTCACACATTAATAGACACAAAATTAAACTGCCATCTAGTTTTATCCCACATGTTCATGGACACGGACACACAATATATAAGCATTTAGGAAAACTACATTAATTAGCACAGAGATTCTAATTTCTGCAAAACTCAAATAACCAACTCTTTATGGATTCTTCTGGAAGACACAGGACAGAAATAAAATAAAATAAAAAAAATCTCAGCTCCCCTACATCCACGTTCCTATGTCCACCATCATACGCCTATCATATCTCATCATACACCCCATGCAAACCACCCACAGCCTCTTCACCCAGCCCTCAACCACAGCAGGCAGCGCAACGGTTTTTGGCTGGCCCCGAGCTCCTCCAGGCCAGCTGGCACAGGGAATGGAGCAGGTAACTGCTGAGCTCACGCTTCTGCCTTTCCTCACTGGGACATAAATTAGGCTTTCTCTTCTCTGTCCAGTTAGCAATCTGCAGGAATATATTTAACTTTTCCCTATATAGCTGGCTGAAATCAGTCAAAATTTGCCCAGGGTGGAGTGGGAAACAGTTAAAGTGATCATATAAATTTCATTTCCCTAGGAAATAAAATATAACATTATTCCGAAAAATACAGCAGACACCACAAACACAACATTTATCTTTTCTGAATGGAATGATATACAAATTATTGCATTATGTTAAAAGTCCAAATCAAATGAAGATGAATCAAAGCTGGACTGGACTGTATATAGACTCTAGGATAAAGAACAAAAGTCCTTGAAAGGGTTTTACTCTTCTTTCCATCTGTCATTTCGACTGCTAATGGAAAAGAAATAAGCCTGGGTCAAACAAACACTTTCAAAGTCTAAGTGAAAGAATACTTAAAATCACAATGTGCAAACATTTCCCATTTCACTGATCTTCCTTATTTGTCCATGATGTTTCCTTTCGAACAATCTACCATAAATTTCATGTTGAAGATTTTCTTTTCCAAGTAATGCAAAAATCTATACATCATAAAGTTGTACATGCGAAAACTAGAATTACAAAGAAAGTTATTTTCAGCTGGGTGAGTTATAATCTAAAGGGTTCCAAATAATATGCAAAATTAAGTCAATACTCATTTCGAACACTAAAAAAATAAGAATTCTTCATCTTTTTCTTGAAAATTAAGTTAATTCAACAGCG